ATATAAAAATAATATATACATAATTATTAAATTAAATAATAAATATAAAGGTCTAAAATTATTTATTTAACTTATTTAATCAATTTATTTAACTGATTGTATGTATATAACTGAAATTTTATCTATATTTATAGTACTTAATATTTATCTAATAATAATAATTTTTAAAAATAAAAATAAGATAAAATATAAGACATAAAAATAGAAATAAAAGTTACCAAAGCCCTAGGACTATAGGCCAAATAAATTATACACACATTAATAACAATTTGTATTAGTCTAAAGGTGCATTTGAGATTGCAATTAAGAGTTTTTTTATATTCGTATAATATTTTTTAATATATGTGTTTGATATATATATTTTTTAATTATTTTTTTCAAAAACTATAAAAAGCTACAGTATGTTAATAGAAATTTTATATATAAAGTCAAAACCAACATTTTGAAACTTTTTAATTATGCTTTCACGAATAGGGATGGCAATAGGTCCTTGCATGGGCAAGAACCTTTTTCCCATCCTTGTTCTCGCCAATGCTCATGTATGTGAACCTTGCAAAAATTTTAAAAAAATAAATAACCAAACATTAAAATAACCTTCAATTATAGCACAGTACAATCACAATTACAATTATAGCACCCCACAATAATCTTAAGGATAATAATTAGTATACCATTCAGTTTAACACACTTCACAACGTTCACTAGTTCAATCATTAAGAAACTAATATTTTTAAATTTCAATTCAAGGTGGAAAAATTTTCAAAAGTAAATTTTAATGACTAAATCGGTGGGTATTGTTAAATGTGTTGAGCTGAAGGGTATACAAATTATTTTCTTAATCTTAAATGCACCGTAATCCTTCTTAGCTTAATTTCTTTCTGCTTTTTTTGGTAATTTTCAATACATAGCCCTTGATTACTGGCTAGATGATTATTTAGCTTTAAACTCCAACTTTAATGGCAAAAGGTACCCGTTTGCCCTTAAAGATTTCAAATTTGAGGCGTTTTACCCCTTATATTTCAATATATGAAATTTTACCCTTCGTGATTTCTGATTTGGGGAAATAAGGCAAAATTTAACGTCAAACGATCATGTGCTACATGTGCATCGTTATTTCTGTTATAAATTTACATGTCAGCACCAACTTAGACTTTTTTTTACATGTCAGCAAGTCCAACTTGGATCCTTTCCAACAAATTTTTTTTTTCTTCCTTCCTTTCCTCTTTTCCTTTCTCTTTCTTCAACTTCTGCAAATCCAAACATCTCCACTAATCTCTACCCTTGTGGCTTCATCATCATCATCAAATAACAAAACTCACAAACAAAACAAAAAAAAGAAATTTTTTTAATTTTTTGCCACTGGGTTTAAAGGAACCAAGTGCTTGGGTTCTTTCGAACCCATGCCTTGGGGTTCCAAGGAAGTAGAAAGAAAGACAAGCAATTGAAAAAAAAAAGAAAAAGAAAAAGAAAAATCCAGACCACAAACCATAGCAAGATTAAAACATAATATAAATCAACAACATCAAATCAAGCCAAAAACACCAACCATCATTCTCTCATGAGTTTTCGATTCAATAACAAACACCCAGCAACCAAACACAAAACCCATTTAAAACTCACTAAACACAAGAGCCAGATCTGTTAAAAACCCAGATAGTATATACTGAAGCACAAGAATCTTGAGAGGAAAAGGAAAGAGGAAAGGGGGGAACGATATAATATACTGAAGCACAAGAATCGTTGGAACCCAAGTGCAGGTTCTTTTGAACCCAGGCGCTGGGTTCGATGGAACCCAGTGGCAGAAAATTAAAAAAGTTTCTTTTTTTTTTTGTTTTGTGAGTTTTGTTATTTGATGATGATAATGAAGCCATAAGGGTAGAGATTAGTGGAGATGTTTGGATTTGCAGAAGTTGAAGAAAGAG